GGTCCACACCTTTCATGAACTTATTGTACCATGCTTGTATTGTACCATGATATTTTTGGCATTTTTTGGTGATGCTGTGGTCACAAGCTGAACAGCAATGCTGTGAGATCATGCTGCGTGTGCCAACCCTGGTGGCTCACTCAGTACTGAGGCTCTCACACCCGGGAATGTCGCCCTCGATTTTTTTTTTAAATGCGTCTGTTTACAAGAGCCCTGAGGAAGGTGATGTGAACCCCGTGTATCTGCGGGCTGTTTAAATCTTGCGTAGTACTTCAAAACTGCGTATGGAGTATTGCGCATTTTTGTGTCAAGTTACTCAAAACTGCATATGCAGTTTTCCGCAGTTTAAGGGTTAATCAAGGGGCTAGGAAGAAATAAAGTGGTTGGACTTGTGAAGTTTTACCTTGGGTGCTGCAAAAATGGGCAACTGAGCTGAGCATTTTACTCCTTGTGCACAGGAATTTTAGCAATCTATTGAAAACGGCAAACAGTACCAATCTATAAAAATGGTAGCCGAGAGGAACCTCTAAATTATAGACCTGTATCATTAACAAGTTTGGTAGTCAAAATACTAGAATTTTTTTAAAGCCAAATGGGTTGAACACCTAGAGAGTAATGACATAATACTGGACAAACAGTATGGTTTTCAAACAGGAAGATCCAGTGTAATGAATCTACTTAGTTCATAGTTCCACAGAGATACTACAGAAAAGAGGTTGTTGGATTGACTGTGTCTATCTGGACCTGAAAAAGGCTTTTGACAGTCACACACAAGAGGCTGTTCTGGAAACTGAAACACGCTGGATGGATAACAGGGAAACTTCTAACTTGGATGAAAAATTTTCTAACTGACAGACAGATGAGGGCAGTAATAAGAGAAAAATGTATCCAACTGGAGGAGTGTTACTAGCAGAGTACCACAGGGCTCAGTTCTTGCAACAGTGATGTTCATTGTCTATACAAACGATCTACCAAAAGGAATGCAGAATTATATGAACATGTTTGCAAATGATGCCAAGATACCAGGGAGGACAGGGGGATGCAGATGATTGTAATACCCTTCAAACTAATCTAGATAAAGTAAGTGTTTGGAGTGTCAAGTGCTAAATGGAATTAAATATAAATAAATGCCATGTTATGGAATGTGGAATCGGTGAAAAAAGACCACGCACAATATACAAATTATGTGGAATGGAATTACAGAACTCAAATAAAGAACGAGACCTAAAGTGGATAGTAAGCTGTCACCAAAGGAATAAAGAACACTGTGAAAGATAGAGGAAAGGGAATGATCTGGAGAAAGTGCCAAGTCAGTGTGCCTAAACAGCACTTGGAAGGGATCAGAATAAGGATTATGGACTGGGGAAAGGAATGGTGCCCCACCACTTGGAACGTCAGGGATTGAATGCCGACCTGCATGAAGCGAGACCATCACTCTACCGTTACTTTTCAACTTCAGTCTTGCTTTTAATTATATGGATGGTGAAATACTAAAGAAACTGTTTATGACTCTTTGCGAGACCAAAATTGGAATATGCAGCAGTTGCATGGTACCCAAATCTCAAGCAGCACATAAATATACTGGATAATATGCAATGGCATGCTACAAAATGGCGTTCGAGGAGTGACTAGTGACATGCCAAAACTAGTAGATAGAAGAAAAAGAGGTGATATTATCACATCTTACAAAATACTAACAGGAATCAACCAAATTGACAGAGGAATTCCTGAAACCAGCAACTTCACGAACAACAGGACAGATTCAAGCCGGGGAAACAAAGGTGCAGAAAAAATATTACGAAATTTTCCTTTGCATTATTTGCAAATTTGCAAACAAATTAAGTGAGGTGGTGGTGGAGGCTCTCTCTCCCTCCCCCTCCCCCCCCCTCTCTCTCTCTCTGAAAACAAGAGCTTAGGAGGCCTGAGAAGCAAGAACAGACATTTGGACTGGGTGATTCATAAAGCTCATCCTGGCCTGGAAGCTTTCATGTGTCAACATGTTGAACAGTCTACAAGACTTGAGAGAATGGGATGCTCCATCAATGCTGGATTTGATATTTACCAGGAAAGAATAAGAGATACTGTATTTGACATTCAGTACCTTCCTCCCTTAGGTTAGAACGATTATGTTATTTTGGAAATAAAATATGCATTGCATTCTAATCTAGACAAGAAAGAGAAAGTGGGAAAACTTGATTTCTATAAAGGGCACTGATGATTGGAAAGATCTGTTGTTAGTCAAGTAAGAAAATGAGATGTATGCCAAATTTTGAGAGAAATTTAAAGGTACAACAAATTTATACAAAAATAAATACGCAGAACTACAAAAATGACTGGCTCAACAGAAATTGTTAGAGGGTCAGATAGAAGGAAAAAAGCTCTTTCTATATACATCATGGAAAATCCATTAAAATGTTTTCAGTCAAGAAATAAAAAATAAGATTCAGTATAAAGCACAAACTCGCCTGAACGAGCTATATGGGGCAAGGGCAAGTCATTCCATTAAGAGATTTAGTTTATCACAATGCTAAATAAAATGTTAAGAGGGCCTATATTCATTACAATGTATGTACCCTGTACAGGGTTGTGCAGACGATGAGTCACAATAATGTGGCTGAAGATATGATGACAAAACCACACATCACAAGATGAAGAAACAACGACGTTTCGGTTCGGGCATCCCCCCTCCCCCACCGGGGGTCAGGGAAAACAAATCAACACTTTTATAAGATTATTTTTTCTTTCTTACACCTGAGGGCCCTTTAAGGGTTAAAATTATCTTGAGGTTATCTTGAGATGATTTCGGTGCTTTTTAATGTCCTCGCGGCTCGGTCCTCGACCAGGCCTCCACCCGCAGGAAGCAGCCCGTGACAGCCGACTAACACCCAGGTACCTATTTTACTGCTAGGTAACAGGGGCATAGGGTGAAAGAAACTCTGCCCATTGTTTCTCGCCGGCGCCCAGGATCAAACCCGGGACCACAGGATCACAAGTCCAGTGTGCTGTCTGTTCGGCCGACCGGCTCCCGTCAACGGCATTATCATATGTTGATATTATATAGTCTTTTTTTTATACCCATGTGGATATAAAATAGCTCTATATGGTCATAGTGGAGCTTACTTAGACCCATGAGAAAATCTCACTATTGTTTCATGATTGCTTTCATTGCAAATGCCATTAATAAGTCAGTGCAGCAATCAAGTCAGTGCAGTTTATAATATGGTATGGTATAAAATTTCTTTGTGTGATTTGTATATCAATATGCTCATACAGTTTTCACAAATGTATATGGCTGCAATGAAGACCACCATAAGAATACAGGAACTGCAAAAAGCCTACTGGCCCATACATGGCACCTATTTACATCAAATATTTAAATGTGTGTGTACACTCGGGCCCGACTGCTGAGTGAACAGCGCTCGAGATTCATAGTCCTAAGGTTCCGGGTTTGATCCCCGGAGGACGCGGAAACAAATAGGCAGAGTTTCTCTCAACTTGCTGCCACTGTTCCTCTAGCAGTAAATAGGTACCTGGGAGTTAGACAGCTGCTATGAGCTGCTTCCTAGGGATGTGTAACAAAAAGAAAGCCTGGTCGAGGACCGGACCGCGGGGAAACTAAGCCCCAAAATCATCTCAAGATAACACTCGCCTAGTTGAGCCTGTAGAGGAGAGCATGTGCCCTGCCTTACAATTATCGCCGGGTCAATGCAATGACTCTTTTCACTTGTTTTTCTTATTATATTTACATTTAAAGCTGTGTATCAAACTGGATTTGATGACTTCATCTAGTCCAGTTCGCTTATTTACGCGTCTTGAATTGAAAAAGTTCCTACTGACCTTCCTGTGACTTATCTATGTTTCCAGTTTCCAATTATGTCCTCTCATTCTACTGTTCCTTAATCTGAACACTGATTCTATATCAAGTTTGTCAATTCCCTTTAGTACCTTGTACAGTACAGTATTGGCAAATATGGTATATCAATAAAAGGAGGTCTCTTGTGAAATATTTTGCCCGAATTGTATTCTACTCGGGAAAAAAAAAATACACCAAATCCCCTGGATCATACCAGAACGATGAGTCCAAACGAACATGCTCTTCATGCCAAATTAAATTCAGAAAAGTGAGTCGTAGTAAAGTTTATAACTTTCTGTAGTAAAGTTCAAAGTTCATAATTCTTCTAAATGGTTTCCTAAGGGTATTAATTAGAAACTACTCTTCCATAGCGTACTACAGCCTCATGGAAGAATAGGATTGTAATTATTCTGAGGGCCATCAACTATATTCTAAAGAAGCTGGGCCAAAATAAGGATAAAGTCAAGTAATTCAAGAAGATTAAGAATGAATGCAAGTTCTTGTTTCAAATGTGCCTTAATTTTTTTTTAACTAACGGACAAAAAACACTGTTGCTACGAGTGTAATTGCAACTGGTGTACCCAAAATGGTTTAGTAACAATTTTATGCCAATAAAGTACTGGCAAGAATGGCAAAGCACTGTGTAAAATTAAAGGAACAACCAAATGTAAAACTTGCAAGGCATGAGAATCAACTAAGAGGGTGTTAAAATTTTATAAGAAATATTTTAATCCCACAGGAGGCCTGGTCAGAGACCAAGCCATGGGGACCTTGAACCAACGCAAGATAACAGTACAGTACACAGAAAATAAGAATTACAGTCCTGAATATAGGGATATCTATTTCAGAAATAGATTTTTTTTTTTGTAAGAAGCACAATGTCTGGGACAATACTCAAAATTTTGACAGAAGTTGTCTTTATACCACTTAATAGATTTTCCAGGCTGAGGCTAGTTAGGTCAGAGAGTATGCATTTGCAAAACTCACCTTATATCAAATTTATTGCTAAGGATTTCTGAGACGAGTTCAAATAACTTCCAAGATGGTAACCATGGTGAGACTGTCAGTTATATACATGGCACTCTTTCTGTGATAAATCACCCCAAGCTAAGTGCTTCCTTGATGCAACAACTGCAAATGAACCGACCTGAAAACAGCTGGTTGTGAGCATTGTAGAGAGTCAGATGCTCCCAAAGAAAAGTGCCAATTCTGTGGGAAGACAGAAAAACTGAAGTCAGCTATGCTGAACATCATTGGTGCCTTTTTAAGAGGAGGTAAACAAATCATAGCCATGTAGTGATATCTTCCTTAAGGACTTGAAAATGGTTTTCACTGACAAGCTATGTGGAACTCGACATTATTTGAATGTTAAAACAGCAAACAGAATGAAAAACAGCCAAGATCACTACAGTTGATACTTTATGAAAATTATAAATATAAGCCAGGAAACTTTCAAGAAGTTTCACTGGTTAAATCACATCACATGCAACATCTGACTAGAATAGTGATTTTCAGATATATGATTACCAATATGCCTCAACACAGAGGTTAGGGCACACATTGATCATAAAACATTGTCAAGGGCAACTTGGCATTAAAGCAGAGCTGTTTACCAGAATCGATGGCCGTGGACGACGCTCACGTCCACTTTTTTTCTCGAGTCCTAGCCGTGGACAGTGCTCGCGTCCAATACAAAAATATTTGTATAAAATTCATTTTTTATCCAATCGACTTCAGGATAGTTTCGAAATAAGCACCATTAGAGTGCGCACAATTTGATACCAAAATGCAAGATGTAACACGAAACCTGATGTCAGAACATTTGAAAGATTATAAATACGTTTTTGGTCAAAATTTTAAAATATTTGTTAAAATTCTATTTATTGTGCTATTATTTTGGGACTAATTTAAAACTACGCGCCTTTACATTGTGAACAATTTGATACCATAATGAAAGATGTAACACAAAAATTTGTCAGAACACGGGAAAGATATAAATGATTTTATGATGATGAGCATACAAAATTAAAATATTTATTAAAATTCTAGTTATTGCTCTATTATTATGGGACTAGTTTTGAAATACATGCCTTTATATTGCGAACAATTTGATGCCAAAATGAAAGACGTAACATGAAAATTGATGTTACCAAACTGAACGAGTATACACATTAGGTTGCGGTGTGCCAATTGGTGCTAGTTTACGGGTAATTTTAGACTTTCCTGCAGAGAATCACGCCGGGCTTTTGTACATTATATGCATATTCACATTTAATTGCGAACACGATGATACCAAAACAAACGACATAGCACGAGAATTAAGGTGAGAAAACTGAAACGAGTAAACACATTTTACTGATTTTGTGCTCACAGGTAACTTTTGCAGACTTTAGGCTTTGCTGTTGGGAGTCACGCCAGGCTTTTGGACATTATATGCATATACACCTGTAGGGAATTCTATTGCAAACACAATGATACCAAAATGAACAACGTAGCATAAGAATTAAGGTGAGAAAACTGAAACAAATACACATTTCAGTGTCGCCGCGCACTTGCCCGCACGCCGGGAACGTGACCTCTAAGTTGGCGGCGCGCATGTCCAGCGTGCGATAGTGTTAACTTTCCTCTTGGAATATACTATAAATAGAAAAAATTAGCTGGCAGAGCCAAAGAGGGAAAACAGATGATAGAAAATATCAAAGCTACAATGATCAGCTTACAAATTCTAGATGATATTCAGAAGAAAACAGCTCATCTGATCAATGCATTCACCATAAAAATCTTTGCAGGGGCTATAAGGTAAGATCACAAAACACATGGAATTGCACCATCGACATAACCTCTAGACAACATGGGTTCAGAACAGGGAACTCCTGCCTCTCACAATTACTAGACCACAATGACACTAACTTAGATGCCATGGACGATGAGCAAAATGTTGATGTAATATACTCAGATTTTGCAAATGCTTTTGACAGGTGACCATGGTGGCCTGACAGCTGAGTGGACAGCGCTTCAGATTTGTAGTCATGAGGTTCCAGGATTCGATCCCCGGTGGAAGCAGAAACAAATGGGCAGAATTTCTTTCACTCTGATGTGGCGGTTCACATAGTAGTAAATAGGTAGCTGGAAGTTAGACAGCTGCTACGAGCTGCTTCCTGGGGTTTGTGTAACAAAAAGGAGGCCTAGTCCTGGGCTGTGGGGACACTAAGCCTCCAAATCATCTCAAGATCTCAAAGATCAGATCTTTGTGTTATTGCACACAAAATGTATACAAAAATTACTGGCAAAGTAAGATGATGGACTTTTAATTTCCTAATGAACAGAACCCCGTGAATTGGTCAACACAGTAAAATTTGGATATCTACTGTGATCCACATTTTACTTCAGCCCAGACCCTCAGGGTACTGTGGTTACTCCAGTACTTTTTCTCATCCTCACATTTACAGATGACAAGAGTTTAATGAGATTAGACACTAGAGAAGAAACAACAAACCTTAAGTTGATGTAAATCAGGTCTTTCAGTGGGTCACAGAAAATAATATGTTTAATGCAGGTAAGTTCCAGACCCTGTACTATGGAAAACAAAAATATCTAAATGGAAACCATGTATTTAACTCGGTCAAATCACATTACAGAACAAAAAAAAAGGAAAATAATAAATTAAGGAGTAATCATGTAAGAAGACTTACTCTTGAAGAACATAATAAAGTAGCTATCACAACTGCAAGAAATATGATAGTTGGATAACAAGAACCTTTCAACAAGACTTGGCACACACGTGTTGCTCGTTTTTAAGGACAATAAGGGGTGGAATATTGTTGCACCATAACAGCTCCATTCAAAGCTTGACTTGACTGAGAAATTATTAACTTTGGGAACATGCAAAGATATTATATTGCCAGAATACATTCAACAAAACATTCTAATTATTGGACTACTAAAAATTTAAAATCTGTATTTAGCACAGGTGAGATACAATAATATAGACGTGGAAAATATTAAGAGGGACTGGGTCCAACAACAGCACATGAGACCAGGAGGAATGGCAGGAGGGTAAAATAGCCCCATTGAAAAGCAAAGATGCAATAGGTTTGCACAGAGAGAATGTCAAAAAAGGGCCCAAGATTTCAACACACTCCTTCTAAACACAAAGGGCACAACTAATCGACCGCTTATGGTGTTCAAAGGAGACCATTATAAAAATTTCTAAAGGATACCCATTCAACTGGGCTTTAATCCATAATTTAAAGATATCCAACTTAAAGCTTAGGTTGAGAGGAGAGACCAAAGAGATAAAGCTTAGTTTACACAAGCACAATTAAAACAACAACTAGTTCAATAGCAAAAACTTTTCAAAATAAATGTTCAGTGCATGAGATGCAAGTCACAAGCTACATGAAGCAGTAGTAACAGATTTACCCCACGCCTCAACAGTGATACTCAACTAGGTTTCAGCCATGGCAACTGATTCTTAACTGGTCACCTCCATTCACCAGCAGCAAATGATGACATAGTTGTAAGCAGGTTGGCAGATCACATTCCAAGAAAACTGATAGGATCAATATTACGGTATCGCCACCTTCATTGGAGTAGGAGTGGAGATTTCGGTGCCATCTATGAGTCGGCACCTCGGGTCCCCTGATATGGGTGGACAACGCCATCTATTGGTGGTGGCGTGACAGCGACAAATGGCTCTGGTTTCCTGCCCTAGTTAGCAAGAGAGGTCGACATGGATGACCTCTGGTGGGTAGCGTGGCACGATCAGCGCCATCTAGGTTGTGCTACGAGGATAATGTCAACTTCCAGGTGTTACCTCATGGTTTCTCAAGTGTACCGTCCATCTAATTGATGACTTTATGTCCACAGAAGTGACGTGTGGAGCTGATTGTACTGAGGAAGGCAATTTACCTTGGGCAGTCCACGAACTCTTAAGTCTGGTTTTGCAAGAAGACTCAGTAAGCCACCGTCGATCTGAGCAGTGTGTTAGCTGCTAATATACACAGTGTTGGTATAGATTGGCGTACCCGGGATTGGCTTGGAAGAGTTGCGGACGACAGTGAGGTGCCTATTGTGAAGCGCTGCTAGCAAGCTCCTAGAGGCTTCTGCCAGGGTGTTCGCTACCCCTGTATATAGTTGCTTGAGACCCCTATCAGCATGTTGCTGAAGTCCTCTGCCAGTGAGTAACTGGAGAGCGAAGGTGAGGTGTAGGCACCTCGTGATACTGTGTCGGTGGACTGGCCCACGTAAAAGGTGAATTTGTCAGTGTTCGTCAGTACGCGTGGACAAGGTACTGGACGGAGGAAACACTGAAGTTGGTGAACACTGCAAACGCTTGTGTCCTGCGTGAAAGTAACACTACAGTATATAAGTGTAAAAATAATCTATTTATAAATATTTTTAATGGTGAAGGTGAATATACTCTTAAAGGGAACTGTGTATTATTCATTCCCCCCTTATTCTTTATTGCACTATACAGCCAGTTCTTGAAAGCATACTACCGACTTGGTTCCAAGGGGTTGTCATAGCCAGGGGGTGGTAATGGGGGACGAGCTCCCACGACCTATAAAATGTTCCTATACGGCATGCGTCTCCAATAGCCTCTGACAACCAGGTCCAACTCCTGGCCAGCACGGGTGGCTTAGTCTTTGAGTCCGGCGAAACTGCTTTTACCGACAGGAGAAGGGGCGAGGGCATGCCTCTGGCGCCTTAAAACCAGCTGCTCTGGGTAGATGGGACTCAATAGCTTGGGAAGGCAGCCCATCTAGGGAAAGCAAAACCCTGATTTTAAACCTTCGCTGCCTTGCGGCCATACCTCTTTTTTGGGAAAGGCTTCAGGAGTCAACCTCGAGGAAAAATCCGGAGTTGAAGCCCCTAAGGCAGTTCGTTGTTGACGTCGACCTCGTTCTGGCAGCTCCTGCGACGTTGCTGGAACTATGTGGATTGGCATTTGCCTTTCTATTGGATAATTTCAGCAACGTGGAGAGGGGGGACCTGCTGCATGGGTAACAGCTTCTCATTCATATCTACCTACTTAACAGGGCAACTCCATAGTCTTCCGAGACTGAAGGATGCCTACTACTACTACTACTACTACCGACTTGGGGTCGGATACACTAAAAGAGGTTACAACATCAAGAACCCGGTTACTGGTCCTAAGTGACCGTAACAATCAAGCTTAGATGAGATGAGATGAGGAAGTTCTAAGGCTGCTAAAAGTAGTCAGAAGTCATTTGTTCCAGTACCCACCAATTATAAAAAAATAAAATCTGAAATTTTATCAATTATGCAAAAGTAGATAAATACTACCGATACAAACATTTCAATACACCTCTAAGTTGTGCTATGATTAATGAGTGCTACTGATTTACAATGTCACTATAAATCCTAAGGCCACAACAACCATATCTTCAAACAAAAAAGTGGTAAGTATTGCTATTGATCTTACTGTACATTCAAATTATCACCATCAGCCATTTTTAAAACCAATACATCTTTAATATGTATTCATGAAGCTGGGAAAATTAAGGCCATTCCACTAGACTAGCCCAAAGTCCAAGATGTACTTGCCTAGTTGTACTTGCGAGGGTTGAGCTCTGGCTCTTTGATCCCGCCTCAAAAAGAGATCTCTCAAAGTGAGAGAGATTCAACACGTCATCAAGAGGAGAAACGTGTAAGACTTATCAAAAAGGAATGCATTACACAAACATTACACTGCGATGAAGGTCACACGTGTTACGTTTTACATTTTGGGATAAAATTTTACCTCAATGGTTATATACAACATAATCACTGGCTACTGTCAGCTAATTCTAATTTTCAATTTAGGTATTAAAATAGCCACCATCTCTCTCAATTGTGACAAATCTGAAAAGCTCCTAAAGTTTAATACATCAAAATCAGGTTGTTTTCTGACTTCTAACAAGGAAATATTTATTACAATTAATTACTACCTAGAAGCAAATAAAATCACAGCCTTGTTTCTTGTGTTCAAATAAACAATTTCAAAGTCAATAAATGTGACCCTAAATTTACAAATATAGATTTCTAAAAAATAAACATTATCTAAAAATAAAATAACTTACACTTAGCAAACAGACCATAAATGAACACCAATTAATGACACTAAAGCCAAATTTGAGAATATGTCTCAATTACAGCTGAAAATCATAATTTTGTTGTAAAATTGTCACCCCGTAGAGCTCTTGCCGAGTAGTACTGTACTTTGAATACAAAAATTAATTGGTAATTGTGTTTAAACAAGTGAATGGTCAAACTGTGAAAGGAAAGAATGGCATTGGTATCAGATACAGTTTCTGATGTATGAAAGCAAATAAATCAATTTTTTACATTATGGAGATAATAGTACTCGGTGTATACAAATTCATTCATAAGTATAGGAATACATAACTGGGTCATTCGTTGATGATAAATCAAGTGGAGCTTCACTGCAATTTTTAACAACAAAAATTTGTTACATATTATAAAATATTAATTTTTATTTAAACAGCTGTATTACAACATTGTTATGTCATTTGAGTTAAAAAATGAACAAGGTACATGTATTGTTTATGATAAGAATATAAAAAGATTAATACTGTAATGTCAGTCAAATCAAATTTGTTTGTTCGATTAGTAGTGACGTGTATTAACTTCAACCGGAAAAACTGCACTACAAATCGCTTTTATCCAGCAATTTCTTTCCTACCGACAGCTAATGCAAGAGCATCAAAATTTTCAGTAACTGAATGGGAGTCCATCTGGAAAGCATTGGCAACCTTGGGCATAAAAGAAATTAAAGTAACCAGCTCTGAGCATACCATAATGATTAACATTTACCTCTGCACACTCCAAAAGACAAATTCACAGTGAATTGTGAACACAGTTTGCTATTTAGGAATGTACTCCCTCTTTAGTAATTATTAATATTTAAAAATATTATACCTTTTAAAAAGTATTGTAATGTGAATTCCAGCTTGTTTTCAATAATTATTATTATTATTATTTTACAAAATTTCCAAAGATAATGGTGCAATTGAATTTAATTATTTTAATTTCAATCTCATCTCATTTTTTTCAAAGGGAACTTTTCCCAAACTCATGATCATCATAATGTGAGTACTGTACACCAAAATATGATTAAAACCTTAGAAATTAATTTATTCAATTTATAAATAAATTCTATTTGGTATCTTAATAATTATAATAACTTAATTATAATAACTAACGTTTAGTTAAATTAAGGTTATTGCCATGCCGTAATAGTACATTTCTAGTGTCTAATGATATGCAAGTACTGTACTAGTAAATCAAACTCACAGGGAAAACCTTGGGAAAGTGGATAGCAGACTGTCTTCACAAATCCTTGGCCAAAGATGGGAATAATGGCCAAGGCACTGAGCAGAATTTTCTAATCTTACTTGTTACAGTATACAGAGCTGGCCACTGCTATCCTGAGCCTGACTAGCTAACTCCTCACCTGGAGGCTAATCCTTCTCACCTGGGAGCTGTCAGCTTAGTCTGTGGGAAATGGTGTAGATGATATTAGCTGTTAGCATTATTGGTCCAGTGGAGATGCTAACACAAGTTCCACCAGTTCTGATGCTTACTATTATTACTACTATTACTATATAATGAATTCCCTACTCTCACTCTTAACTTTTACATATCTTCACATTTGTAATTAGTATACAACAGACAGCACTGAATACACAGGAAGGAAGATTAATAAATAAACAACAACAGTGAGAGTAGGGCAATCCCAAGCAATGTCTCAATATAATAAACAAAACTATATATATATACTTACTCACCCTGATGGGCGGGTGCCGGTCCTGGGGCCCCACCATCGTTGTAACCACGACCATGATTAAATGCTGCAGCTGCAGCTGCGGCAGAATTCTCCCCACTCATCTGGTTGTAATTGAACTGACCCCAAGAACTGTAGTCAGCTGACGCCTTACCACCTGGCTGAGGCCCAGCTGCTGCTGCAAGGTTTGGAGATGGAGCTCCCGGTGCCCCCGTCATCAAAGCACTTAAGGGAGCATTACGACCATAAGGGTCACCTGAAACATCCAATACTACCTTACATCATCTAACCAAACATAATCTTGAAAAGTTAAATTAAATAATGATATTTAATTCTTAAAATCAAGAATAAAAAAAAAACAGGTTCACTGCGTAGTTTGATCACAAACAAAAATGGCAGTCAGAAGTAAAATTAATAAACTAGTAACACTTTTTAAAGTTATTTTTAATTAAAATAAACATTTTATACAGAATATATATATATATATATATATATATATATATATATATATATATATATATATATATATATATTATATATATATATATATATATATATATATATATATATAAATAAGTAACCAGAATGCACTTCTCAGCCTACTATGCAAGACCCAATTTGCCTAATAAGCCAAGTTTTCCTGAAGTTATATATTTTTCAATTTTTGTCTTATGAAATGATAAAGCTAACCATTTCATTATGTATGAGTTAAGTTCTTTTAATTTGAGTTAAAACTAATGTAGATATATGACCAAACTTAACCTATCTTAACCTAACCTAAACTAACATAACTAAGACAATAATTTATGTTCTTAACATAATATAAAAATAATATTTCAAATAAACCAATTGGAAACACTAAAAAATAAAGAAAATCACTTGGCCTATTAGGCAAATTGGGCCTTGCATATTAGGCAAAGAAGTGCATTCTGGCTACTAGGTATGACTATATATACAGGCGATGAGTCACAATAACTTGGCTAAAGTATGTTGACCAGACCACACACTAGAAGGTGAAGGAACGACGACGTTTCGGTCCGTCCTGGAACTTGAGACAATCGACTTGAGAATGGTCCAGGACGGAGCGAAACGTCGTCGTCCCTTCACCTTCTAGTGTGTGGTCTGGTCAACATAACTATATTATATATATATAAATACACACACACACACACACACACACACAGAGTACAGTGGAACCTCGGTTGACGATTGCCCTAGAGGGGAATTTTCTGGTTGACGAAGTAAAATTCATAGTAAAACTTGAATTGATGTATGACGGTTTACTTGGAAGACGACGTCTGTTCGCACTCGTATGGGTTGAACGAGCGCGTGGTACTGGGGGTGCGGGGCGAGGCACTCTCAGTTTGTTTACAAGTCTATCCAGCATTGTGACGACCGAGGCTGCATTTGAATTCTTTGTGAAGAATTTAATTGTTTGCCTGTTTTGTTCTTTTTTAACATGTAAGTTCTTATTATATATCATCCCATGGGTCCCAAGAAAGTCAGTGGTAAAGATCAACCCAAGAAAACAGTTGTGAGGATGATGATAGAGGAAAAACTAAATATTATTCAAAGTGAGGCAATGTGATGTCTCATTGCAGACAAGTTGTAACACTGTAAAAGTGTTTGGGTTAGTTTATTTAAAATATATATAGAGTACACGAGTCACAGACAAGGATCTGAGAGGCGCCAGTTGTCTGCCTGAGATCTCACACCTCTAACCGTTAATGACCCCAAGTGACCTGAGGTCAGATCATGATAATTTCACCTTGCTTCCGCTAAGCGTATAATTGGAGCCGGGTAGCCTTCAAACATGCCGACGTTTAAGGAGTGGCTTGGTAGTGCCGGAGGCTATCTACTTGTGGGCGGAGTTAGCTACTAGGTTCCCCAATATAAACTCGGAGAGCTATCCAGCATAGAGGATTGACAGACAGAACAGCATCAAGAGAAGAGCAGACGAGAGCAGAGACGACGTCCCTAGCAGGGAGGCTGTCGGCCGGCAAGGGCGGGAGTCTCTGTCAACTACAGACCCCCCCCCCCTCTCTATTCAACTTAGACTCAGTCCTCGGTGAGTGAACATTAAGGTGACTTGTCGTGTTTTACAAGTGTTGTGTGATGATCAGGGGCAGTCAAGTTGTAGGGTTCTCGAATTCTTGGATGATGACTCACTTTGCATATTAAACTGGAACATTTTAATTGAATTGCTAAATTATGATACTTCATGTGAAATATAATGTTGAATTTATTATTTAAATGGTCTTTCACTGTGTTTCCTAGAGAGTTGAGTTGAGGTGAGAAAGCCTCCTCGGGGATTATTGGTTCCCTGATTTTAATGAGTACATGGTACAGAGGGAACATACTAATAATGAACTCATGATAACATCTTTTGAGAATTTTGTGATACAGGCAAGTTCCATTCCTTGTCTCGTATGTAATGATCATGAATGGATGGTGGCAGCATTTCGTCTTCTACTATCTACTTTCTACTTCTACTATCTACTCTTCTACTTCTATCTACTCTTCTCCTTTCTACCTATCTACTCCTCTCCCTCCACCCCTCTCTAAACTCTCACTTTCAACTAATGACCATCCTCGCCCCTCCCACCTCTCTACCTCTCACCCCAAACCCTCACTAATTACTTCACTATTCATTTCTTTCCTTTCGTTTTCTCTTATACGTTTGTGGCAATGATTCTGTATTCTAGAGTTCTCTCTAGAGTTCCGGGTAGCTGATCCAGTTATGGCGCCTTGTAGTCTTAGCACCTAGGTAGTCGAATACCTAGGTTACAAGGTGTTGAACGAGAGAGGCTGCCTTAGGAACTCTGGGAGTGCTCTAGAATAGTTAGCTAACTGGGGACGGGATAACGGACTAGAGAGAGCTGTTTCCCCCGGCCTCGTTAGTTAACTGGGGGGGGGGTGGAATAATGGACAAGATAGAGCTATTTCCCCCACCCCCGTTACAAAGTGTTAAAATGTAGAAAAACATAAGCGTCTATAGACAGATTCTTAGTAAGACAAGAAAGCAGTGAGCCACAACCAGGTCCTAGTGGAATGCCTGCAAAACGTAGGAGAGAAAGTACCCCAGAGAAGTCATCACTGCCTGAATTACAATGGAAGGGGATTCCCCCTTACTTCCAAACAAAAACACCTCTCTCCCCCCCTCCCCTTTCCCACTGTCTTCCATACGCCAACAAGAGTCCTCATTCAAGATCAGATATACATAATGTATTGTAGCTAGTACAAAAATGTGTTATTCAGTAAAAAATGGATTTTTATATTACTACTTTTGGGGGTGTGTAATGGATTAATTCAATTTACATTATTTCTAATGGGAAAATTTGTTTTGGTTGACAACACGTCTCTGGGAACTGATTACGATCATAAACAAAGGCACCACTGTACATATACATATAGACGTGACAGTGTCAGACCAAGGAGAAAGAATTGAAACAGGAATTTCCTTAAGTATTTTTGTATATTAATACATCTTCAGAAGGAATGATTTACAGGTCAAGTATTGGACATATATATGCAGGAGAGTGTGGTGGAGTGAGGTGAGGTACAATGACAAATGAATGGGAATTAGGTGGACACAAATATGAGCCGCATAAGAACTGCAGAAGGCCTATTGGCCCATATGATGCAGCTCCTATTCATACACACCAATAAGCTCACACATGGATAATAATAGCATAAGATAGTAAATATTTACAATGAATTAGTGAGACAACTGTGTATCAATGATCCTACTCAAATCGCCCTTTAACTGATCCATCAAAAATAGATCTAAGTTATATAAAACACTGCTAATTTTCAAATTACTTTCTTTTGTAATCTGTATCAAGCAGATTCAATTATGTTCCTGTTAAATTGTAAAAGTACTTATAATAGGAACATAATTGAATCTGCTTTAATACAGATTACAAAAGAAAGTAATTTGAACATTAGCAGTGGTTTATATAGCTTAGATCCATTTTTGATAGATCAATTAAAGGGCAATTTGAGTAGGATCATTGATAAAAATTTGTCTCACTAATTCATTGTAAATATTTACTATCTTATGCTATTATTATCCATGTGTGGGCCTGTTGGTGGGAATGAATAGGAGCTGCATCGTATGAGCCAATAGGCCTTCAGCAGTTCTTATGCGGCTCATATTTGTGTCCACCTAATTCCCATTGATTTGTCATTGTACCTCACCTCACTCCACCACACTCTCCTGCATATGTATGTCCAATACTTGACCTGTAAATCACTCCTTCTGAAGATGTATTAATATACGAAAGTACTTAAGGAAATTCCTGTTTCAATTCTTCCTCCATGGTCTGACACTGTCACATTTTTAATCACGTGTTTATTTTTCGTGATTTACACATATATATACATATTCATACATATATATACAGTGAAACCTCGAGTGACGAGCGGCTCTATCTACAAGCATTTCAAGTAACGAGCGAGCTATTCGCTGAAAATTTGTCTCTACTGATGAGCTTTCACTCTATTAACGAGCGAAACCACATGGTGCTCCCTAGCATTCTCGCTGGTTCTCCCAAATTCTCGGATGCCTCCGACGACAATGTTGTTGTTGTATCGCGCAGGACAAGCATCCCTTTGCATTTATTTGTGCTTTTTTGTGTGTGTGTGTTTTGTGACTACAATTTGTAACGCACGATGTCGCCAAAGAAGCTACTTGCTAAAGATAGTGTTGTCAAGAAGAAGGACAATTACTGCAGATTTGAAGAGGGAAATTATAGCAAAGCACGAGCGTGGTGTCCGTTTGACTGATCTTGCCAGGGAGTATGGCAGGTCCTCCTCAACAATTTGCACCATTTTGAAGTGGAAATTGTTGCTTTGGGGCAAACTTTGAGTCTGGAGTTGGATGCTGCTGATGTGCAGGAATTAGTGGAGGAGCACAGTGATGAACTGACCACTGAGAAACTCCTGGAACTTCAGGAGCAGCTGAGCCAAGAGGCACAAGAGCTTTTATCAGGGGAGGAAGTAAGGGAGGATGCTGCTGCCTCTTCCAGTGAGATCAGGGAAGTATTGTGAATGTTTGATAGACACGTTCTTTGCAAAAGTAGAGAAAAGACGAGTAAGTGATAGTGAACCACAACCCAGTCCCAGTGGGGTGAAATTCCCAAGAAGAGAGAGCCCGCCTGACTCACAGGTGGATTCTCCTTCCACACCTTAACCCCTCTCCTCCTTTCCACCTCCTCATCATCTCCCTCAAGCCAGCAAAGACTCTTCATAAGG